TTGGACTCCACAGTTCATATGCTTGACCATCTTCTTGCGGGAAATGTGGATAGTTGTATGGATTTGAACGACCTATTGTACTGCATCAACGTAAGTATGTGCATAAAAACTAATTGAATGCAAACCTAAAGATTTAAACGTGTGTAAACCTTGAGAACCAAACTTGAGATTTGTTGACGTTGGGAGGACTGAACTTGAGGCTAATAATTGTTGCGAAAAGGTATGATTTTTTGCGTTACCCTACATCGTATAACAAGGCAAATAAAGTTTCGAACAAATAATCATAATAAACTAAGTATACTAACCAACAATATTTGCGAATACAAAAACGGTGTTTGTGTGTATTGTTGAGATGCTTGAACGACGGGTGCAAAAGATGTTGTATTACTGTGCCTGGATGTCGATCTTTTTCCTTCGGCTGAATTCGATGTAGCCTGCATGTATATACATAGGGTTGGGCAAATCTCCCGAACATAACCAACTGAATCGAATCCGAACCGAATGGTTCTTGTCAAATTAAATACCCGAAAGGGTATCTGAATTGAGAACCGATGGGTACGGTTCGGTTCTCGATTTTAGACCAAAAATCGAATAAGAATCAAATCTTTCTATTTTTTTATATTGAATAAATAAAAATATCTTAATTTTAATTTTTTCTAAACAAATTAACAATTTCTAAATCCAAAATTTTGGCCCAATAATTTGTTTCATTTCTAATTTTGGCCCAATTACCATTTTATTATTCCATTTCTTAGCCCAACAAGATCCAACCCACTAAATAACCCTAAACACCTACACTGAAGTACATAACGCTGTCTCGACTCTCGCAATCTCGGTGACATTTCAAAACCTATACAATCGCCGACCAACGCTATGACCTCCACAGACTGAAGCTTTAACTGTAGCAATCATTTGAAGAAGGTAATCTACTAGCCTCTAACATTCCAAAACCATTGAATGTGTCATTAGTTATATTTATAGAATGTTATTATAAATGTTAAAAAATTTAATTATAGTACAGAATCGAACGGAACTGAACCGAAAGGAGCCGAACCCGAACGATTCCATAATAATAATTGGACCCGACGGTTTCATTTTCTAGATATCCAAAAATTTTGGTTCGTTTGGTTCTCTTTAGAACCGAACCGAATCGACCCGCGCCCACCTCTATACATACATGTTAAATAGTAATTGAAATGGAATACTATTTTAGTCGACAAAAAGTGACAAACATACATTTGATTTTTTTGAAGAGGACTTCAAAGGGATTTTTCTCTTGAGCTTTTTAGGCACGCCCTTTTTTTTTCATTGATATAGGATTATGTACACTCTCTAGCTTTGTTTTCATATTGATTACACTACGAGGCTAACTAAATAATATTTTGTGAAACCTGATTACTTCCACTATCTAACTTTATTGTAATCAACTCTTGCTTTTGATTAATTATCCACTCCTTGATGGCATAACAGTGCACTTCATCATTAGCCGTCAAGTTTGCAACATCGGCAAAACTCTAACACATATTGTTGTATCTCAACTGTTCAAAAGTACTAATGAACCCATCATAGTTCACTGTGACCCTAGTGTGTACTCCACGAACGTCTCTCCTTCATCTCCGTAGTATATACCTCTCTGGCAGCGACATGATGTCATTACGGATCAAGTCTACAATATTATGCCAGCACAGAATTCCTTGAAACTTAAACAAGTTGCAACTCCAAACAATCTCACAATTGTCTCTCTGAAATGAAAAGAAAAACCTTTTTATCACTGAATAATATGTTGTGAAACCTGATTACTTCCACTATCTAACTTTATTGTAATCAACTTCTGCTTTTGATTAATTATCCACTCCTTGATGGCATAGCAGTGCACTTCATCATCAGCCGCGAAGTTTGCAACATCGGTAAAAGTGTGACACATATTGTTGTATCTCAACTATTCAAAAGTAGTAACCAACCCGTCATAGTTCACTGCGACCCTAGTGTGTACTCTACAAACGTCTCTCCTCTATCTCCATAGTATATACCTCTTTGGCAGCGACCTGATGTCATCACAGATCAATACTACAATACCATGCCGACACAGAATTCCCTGAAGCTTAAACAATTTGCAACTCTAAACAATTTCACAATTATCTCTCTGAAATGAGAAGAAAAACTTTTTTTTTTTAATCTTCTGTTGGTCATCATGCATAACAACCTCTAGTTTTTTGTAGGTCGTCTCTTAAGTTCCCTATGACGTAGATATGATGCTGTAATAAACTTTCTTTGTGAGCTCGACTTGAATTTCTCTGAACTTTGAAATGGTGTAATATTTCTGATATTACTTCTCCATTTCGAACATTGTTGTACACGGCACCATTTAGGAGTATGACTTGAAGTTGGTTTGGAACTCCTTTTTTAACCTTATTCCTCAGTGGCCATTCATATTGTTCGACAAATTGTTTTAACGAGGTCTTCGAATGAACATACCCATCGAAAAATGTATTCATACTTTTACTTCAACTAAGTTGTTGACATCCCTACCCAAAAAGTATTTTACAAATAGCAAGGAACTCAGGGGCCTATGTTATTAAACAGTCTTGATAATCAATCATTATTATTCAACCCTACGTATCGATGATCACCCTCCAACCTTTTCCAAATTCTTCTATGAACTGCGAATCATACATCAATCCATGTATAGTAAAAAAAATGGAAGCCTTATCAACATGGTATCCAAATCTTTGACAACTTCTTTAGAAATGCCACAAACACCATCTATGTTTCGTATTAGAAAAAAATCTGAACTGCATTTTGCATAGTCTATCTTGATCGGTAATGATTAAATGGAAATCATTTCCATGCATGCACTAAAGCTATATCCTAAATAGCCACACAAAAGTATCTGTTCCTCATTGGACAACAAATCACAACCGAGCAGTGTTGATTGTTCGTGATAATTAACGCCAACGGAAGGAGCGAAAGGTATGTCATACTCATTAGTTAGATAAGTGGTTTCAAATGTGACAACGCGCTTGCCAAAAATACATTCTTAAGCCTAGACTCATCATCTAAATCCATACTAAAGTAGAATCCCAAGCACTCGAAATGTAGGATTGTATCACTACGGCATCTCCTTCACTAAGTCTTAATCGTCTCATTTGTTCAATATAATTTCGACAATCATTTTTCATGCAAGTCACATTTTCATATCCACTTGCTTCAACAGCTGCAGAATTGGTGCAAGGGAGTTCCGGCCATATCATTCACTTCAAACTTCCATTTCACATCTGAACTTAATTCTCGATTGCAGCGATTCAACCTTGACTTCAAAGGACTTACTTTATGATTATGGTCAAGGTGAACTATGTTAATTCTTTAGATTCCATGAATATCTGAAGATGCAGTGATCCTGGTTTTATAATCTATCTAAATTGTTGATTGGGGTTTCAAACAACCGCTTGTACTGGTGCTTCTTCGACCTTCATGACTACATGTGAAAGTCACATACTTCAATTTCCCATCGTCTCCCTTTTTCGAATTCCTTCTTCTAATTGGAAAACCTATATGACAGGCATATCCTTTATAGAAACTCACAATTCTTTTTCATCTTTGAATATCATACCCACCTCCGTAGCCTCAGGCACCATCGAACCATATTCTCCCAACGTTTCCTTCGCCACTAATATCATATTATCCGCAACATTCTCCTCTATATCTCTGTTTACCAAAAATTCATCACGTACGTCTTCCATAGAACCTTCTAATGTAACACAATAAGCTGCAACGTTCAGCAAACCAAGTACAATTTAATAAGTAATTCAAAATGTAATCCCAATGCTTTATCATTCTTCACATGTAATTGACAACTTCATATATCCACATGTATAGACAAATTACAGAATAGCGAATAAGCCAATGAAACAACAAAAAATGATTCATTGAGTTCGAAGCAAATTATCATAGAATCATACATCTCCAAAACCTTATTCGAACTCATAGACCAAGGTTTTTATATTACAAATGAACCAAATCATGAAAAATAAAAAAATAAAAAAATCTGAAACATAATTATAACAACATGAGTGTGCCCCACGTGGGTTTTCCGGAGTTACTGAAGACTGGATTTGGCCATCGTCGAAGTTGGACATCACCATCTTTGCAGTTGAGGGTGATGTGGTCGTTGATGAGTACTCTGGGTTTTTCATCTTAGTTGGCAATTGTGACTTTAGATTCAGGAGGTCGGTGGGGGAAATGTACAAGAGGATTTGACGGGTGTCAATGAGTTGAGTCGAATAGACTCGCGAGTCGAAAATCGAGGCTTGGGCTTGGCTCGAGCTTTTTTTTTTGCCTGAGCAGAGCCGAGCAAAATCTCGGCCTAAAAATCGAGGCTCGACTTGGGTCTTATCGAGCAGATTTTATTTTTTTATTTTTGTTTTTTTCCTCTCCATGGCAGTTGCTTGCCTTTGTAAAGGCAACAACCAACTATATTTATAATTTTTTTTAAAATTTCGAGCTGGCCCACGAGCCACACCGACCGACTTGGGCTTTGTGAAATCGAGCCTCGAGTCGGGCTCGGGCCCGCGAAACATTTTGCCATCCCTAAATCGACCACATAGGATTCGACGGGTGAAATCTCAGTGGCGGGGAAAATGCACTAATGTGGTGTGTTAATTCCAAACATTCGGTCTCTTTCTTTTTGTAGATTTTTTTATTGCTTCCAAGCACTAATGTCACGTTGTCAATTTTAAGGATCCGTTTGATAGTGATTTTGAGAATTGATTTTTTGACCTTTAAGAGAAAAGTGGGGATCACATGTGAGTGAAAAAGTAAAAAATGACAGTTAAAATAGTGATATAATAATAAAAAATTAATTTTTTGGTGATAAAAAAGCACTACCAAACGGGCATAAACTTCTATATAGGTTTCATGCGTGTACCAGCTTCGGTACAAGAGGAATTAGTGACATGACAATTTGTTCAACCCAACGGCGTTTTGTCTCTCGTCTCAACTGCAGTCAAAAAACGTCTGCTTGAACCAAAATAAAATAAAATAAAATAAAAATCCATATATTTTACAAATTAGGGTTTTGTGCAGATGTGCTGTAGAACTGGAAGGGAGAAGGAGAAATAATGCATAAAATTCATGTATTCAATCAACCCTTCCTCTCTTAACTTGAGGGATTTTTTTTACCAGCCTAAGATGAAGAAGATGATGCTAAGCTCAAATAGCATTACGTCTATTCCCCTTTCAACTTCAAGCCCTAGATTTCGGGCTTCGAAATTCACCCCTGTATCAGTTTTTCCTGTCACTCGTACGATTCGGGTCCCCGAAACTCATCGCAGGTTCTCAGCTAAGGTGAAAATAAAAACCCAATTTTTACTATTTCATGAATCGAATTTTACATTTTTTGTGCTTTGGGCGTCAGTATGAAGTCGTTTAGATGTGAACTGGGTTCTGTTTATGTCGGTGCATTGATATTAGCCACAAAACTCCAGTAGATATATATCATTAATTTTTTTTGTATTTATTTGGAGCGAAATGATAATTGATGGAGAAAGTTCATTCGTGGTTCTTCGTCGAAGCTATCGGACTATCCGTTTTTTGGAGTAATTGAGGCGTTTCGATATTAATATTTTTGATAGGATGGTGATTGTGCCTCTCTTTTTCATTTTCTTATAAAAAAGAAATAGTTAAGATAGGGCTGAGTTTTTTTAGCACATCTTTTTGGGGAATAATAGTAGTCTATCAAAAGGCAGTCTTAACAATGTGTAATTAAACTTGTGTCTACATGCATTTGCTTTTGTTTGTGTATGGAGATATAGCAGTTGGGTTGTCAAAAGGCAACAATGCTTAATCAAACTTATCTATCCACGTGCTTTGTTTATGTATGGAGGTATTGAAGAAAATAAATTTGGTTCTTTCTAAAACGTTCAATATTTTCGCTCAGTAAACTCAAATGGCTGCTAGGTTGTTAATTGATGATGTTAACAATGACAATGATGTGATATAGTTGAATTTGAGACATTATATTAGGAACTTTGAATATACTCCTTCTATGGTTGCTCTGAGTAGAAACTATTATTACTACTGCTACAAAATGCATTAAGATTCTAATTTTATTATGCCACTTTTAATATTCAATTGATGTCGAATAACTTTCTTCCATGGAATTTAGATATTAATGTTATTATAAATATAGTAATTTAGAGATTTATATTATTATAAATACAGAAATATGTTTTCTCGCAATGCTTCAGGATTCTGTGTCCTATTTTTTAAGAAATGACGTATCTCCATGTCCTGTCTTGTCACTCCTGCTGTTCCATTTTTTGTCCTACCTAGATATACCATAGGAATCCTATCTATTCACGTCTTCATGTCTGTGTATTTGCATGTCTTTTTCCTGTTTATGGACAATTTCTTTCTACATTTGGTTTTGATTCAGTTAGTTTCAGTGATAACTGGTTACCTTTAGCTTGTTTGTTATAGGTAGTTACAGTAACGAAATTATGGGTTGAGTTTGCTCGGTTTTTTCTAATTGTCATCATGAAGATTCAATGGTTCTCTCCTAAGCATTATTGACGTATTTTTTTGTCTTGAATTATTTTTATTTTTTTCATATACCATTGACTGCTTTGTAATCTGGAGTAATGATACTTTCTTATGCATGTCGTCAGTCATATTAGGTGTGTTTGTAAACAAGGTTTATATATTTGGATACATAACATTGGTGTATGCCATAAGTGAGTTTATTTTCATTTCTTTCATATTGTAGAGGAGGAAAATCTTGTGCTTTAGGCATGAAGAATTTTCATCAGGCACCCCAGATCCTGAGTCTGTTGAGGAGGTTCTTCATGAGGAGTTGAAGGTGGAAGTTGATAAACCTAATGTTGACAAAAGAAATTGGGTTTCAAATCTCGGAGAGGTAATAATGCCATTCTTTTTATTTGGTATTTTTTGAATTTGCACGTTTGTGTGTAAATAGTGGCCTGGTTGAACCCCAGCCTGATCACCTGGAAATAATGTCCGTTTATTTTTTGTATAATGGTAATCATTAGTTGATATATTATTCTATGTATTGTACCTATATTTCTTTACTAATGGAATTTGGTTTAGGAGTTTTGCACAACAGCACTATTGAGTGATTCTTGTAAGCATAGATTATATGTACGATGCGCTGATGTTGGATCACTAAAGGTTTGTTTGGTGTAGGTTTTAGTTGCAAAATAATCTTAAAAAGAACGTTTTTATAAGAAATTGACTCTACATTATGTTGGATTTTTATTAAAAAGATCCTTTCCTGAGGAAGTATGTAAATTTAAGGAACTACTCATATTTAAATTGGCTTCATAAGCTCCTGTTCTGAGAAGCTCTTGTACTTATTCTTTTGAAAGATCGTTCTTGGGACCTCAGCTTTGTGGAGGTCCTGGAAAACATGACCAAGCACGCAAGACTCTCTATCGGTGTTTTAACTTGAGAAGCACTTCTTCAGCTATACAAAGTCCTACAGAAATGATGCCTAAACAAATTGAGAGTCTGTTTGTGGCCATGGAAATTGAGAGCAAGAACGGGGAGGTGAAAAATCCTGCCACATTTATTATATGTTTTAACAAATTTAATGTTTCTCTTTGTTTTCTTATTAGAAACTAAAAATGAAAAAAGGGGGGGGGGGAGGTATGAATTCCAACAATATGGTTGCAAATCTTCAATCGTCACTCACAAAGTTATGATGTGTATAATTGCTAGAACATTTATAGAAATAACTGATGGGATCCATATTATATGCTTTTCAGATTGTAGGTGCAATGTTTAGAGTGATTGGGAAACCATGGGCTGTGCCATGGACTGCAGAGACCATCCTACAGGTAAGGGTACTCCTTGTGCCTTATGACAACATAAACTGAAGTTTTAGAGCATAATTCTTCTAAAGTTTTGAGTGGCATTATCTGATGGAAGTTACTATGCCACCTTTTGGCACCCATTAAATTCCATTCCATTTTTCTCTCTTTTATTTTTAGCCACATAATCTTCCATAAAATAATATTACACGTAAATCGAAAACCTTTTCCTTCTTTTCGATCACTTATTTTTCAAAAAAAATACTATTTCACCCATTTTCATTTTCAAAATATAAGGGCCAAACGGGGGCTATATTTTTCATTAGTATTTTTGCTAAATGTTTAGCCTTTATATGGTGTATAGCCATATCCAATTATCATCCTGTTTCATCTAATTCGTTTAGCTAAAAATCTTCTCTTTTTAACACCATTCCAGAGGAAATACTGCTTTAAACTAATGTGTCTACTATGGCAATGGTATCTAAGGAAAAATAATAGATTTTTCTCTTCAACTGGTGGGAAATTCCTTGTCTCTGATTAGTGATGAATAAATAATTATTATTGGAAACAATAAAGTTAGTGATGGTGAAGACTAGTAGTTGCTTTTGGCTACCTTGTTTAGTGCAGAAGAGAAAGACTCGAAGTTTGACTCTGATGCCTATTAATTTAGAACTAATGAACCAATAATGCTCAACTTAGTCCAACCTACAATGAACTGTTTAATATCTACTGTCCTAAGATGAACTTATTTGTATATGTCCTATAAAAGTGAAATGCTAAGCAAGAGATTAATAGCAGATGCTACATAGGTAATATTTCCTAATCAATTCATAAACTGAAAAGTAGCTAATCCAGCCACTTCTGTTTTCAGCACTTAATGTAGTTGAGTGAATTGATATGAACTGAAGTGTGTGCTGTGATTATGTGGCTTTAGTAGTCTTGTTTGGTAGGTAAATGTTTGAGGACACCTATAATCAGGTTTAAGGCATATATGCTTTGAGGTACAAAAATTGAGAGATCTTTTTAGGTGAGCTTGTACATTATCGACTCGGAACCTATGATCTATACAGATGAAGTGGGAAATTTTAGCATGTCGTTTGACACTTATGTATTGAGTTTATCAAAATCCAGGGCTTTTAGTCCCTTCATATCAAAGGATGTCTTGGTTTGCAATTTCAAGTCGAAAGGATGTCATAATATGGAGAAGTGCCGACCAAATTAGGGTCAAGGTAATATTTTTGTTATTCGAGCATTTAAAGAAGTAATATGGTAGGTAAAAAAATTCTGAGATAAAGTGTACTAATTTCATAGTATAAGGTGAAACTTTTCCATTTTAGATCGGATATTGTTATAAAGAAAATCTGAAAGAGGTGAAACATCAATTGACCACATTTTTGAGTGTAGATTCAGTGTTCACATTTTAAAACTGCTCCTACTCATATTTCACTATAGTTCCCTACATTGTTTTCCAACATATAATAGGAATATATATATAAATTTCTTATTTCAATAAAACATCAATTGAACACAAGTATAGTACTACAAAAAATTACAGCAAAAGTAAGAAATCCGAGTGTCAAATTTGGAACAGATTAGTTGCTTCTCACTATGTAATATTAAAATGCAATCATGATATAATAACCTTTATTTAATCTTCATAATATTTCCCTACCAAAGTTTTACAAGATAGAGTTGAAATTCTAAAAAATGCTGACTGGTCATTAAAATAAATTATTGAAAGCTTATTCTCTGGTATACCCCTTGTTTGAGCCCCTTTTTTTAAAAAATTCATTTTTTGAAAACTCATTGTCAACCACACGTTCTCCAATAAAATAATTTTACACGTAAACCGAATACTTTTTCTTACTTAAAAAAGGGGGCTCAAACAAGGGCTATATTTGTCAAGCACTAATGAACAGAAGGGAACTGAGTGTGTTTTAATGGCTTTCCACAGCTATAGCTTAATGAATGCCATTTTTATTTCGTTTTGGAAGTTTACTTGTTAGAACAGTGCATTGGTAAATCGTCATTGCCCAGAATTGAGTACGTTTTAAAGGCTCTGGATAGCTGTCGCTTTAATGAATATCGCCTTTATTCAATTTAACTTCTAGCTTTTCTCAAGGTCATTGCTTGTAGAATATTTCCATAGGTTGTCAATTTTTGAATCTCTTTAAGCCAGCTGACCACTAGACATGTAGTTATTGTAAAAAATTTTGCTCTTATAAATTTTTATCATTTCATTGTGAACCCCATGCCTTGTCTAACTTTGCTTCTTTAATATTTCCTTCCCATTTTTATTAAGTATATAAAATAATAAAATGATGACAACAATATTTTTCATGTTTGAAAAAATTATGGCTACGCAGGTTACACTCCTTTGGACCGTATCATTCTGGTTTGTGGGATCTTGGATGATTCCATTTGGAGCTCACATCATTGGCTTCAGCAAGGTATCACTAACTTACAGAGGGCAGGCACTGTTTAGCCTTCTGACAGATGTAACTGAAGGGCTTGCTGGAATTTTAATTCTTCATCGGTGTTTGTCTCGGTTCCGTCCCCTGCCATCTAATTGGTTTAGATTTAGCCTTAAAGGAAACTGGCTTTTCGACGTTGTTCTTGGATGCTTGATGTTTCCATTGGTCAATTGTCTTTCTCAATTCAACCTAAATCTTCTTCCAGTTTTGCCTTCGACTCCTGTCACACTCTCTAGTGTAGAGCAATCAATAGTGGCTCGAGATCCGATTGCAATGGCACTTTATGCACTGGTACTTGTTGTTTGTGCTCCTTTGTGGGAGGAAATTGTCTTCCGAGGCTTCCTTCTTCCATCTTTGACTAAATACATGCCCGTGTGGGGCTCTATATTGATGAGTTCAATCGGCTTTGCTTTGGCACACTTTAATGTACAGAGGATGTTACCACTTATTTTTCTTGGGGTTGTGATGGGTGTAACTTATGCAAGATCAAGGAATCTACTGCCATCCATTCTCTTGCATAGCCTGTGGAATGGCTTTGTATTCTTAGATTTGATGAAATAAAATCTCAATTCTTATTTCTCATACAAATCGTAACCATGTTGCCCCCATTTATGAAACTCTAATCTCTGAATAGCCTAATCCAGAAGAGTTGTTCAACAATATCCTCAGAGACATGGTTCTTCTACTATGGTTGTGAAGTCATTTGGTCCGAGTACTTTGGTTGAATGCTTCAAACTGAAGTAACTCAGCCCCGTAAAAGCCAAAAACAATCCTCAACGGTGACCCCTTGGTTCGGCCGAAGGGATGATAAACAAGATAAATTTTTAAACGGACTGCATTGTGGCTGGAGGGGAAATTCATACCAAAAGTTGTGCTATTTTGTATGTTATAATGGAAAAAACAATAATCATTTTTTGTTTTTGTTTTTTAATGCTAGTTTGTAAATTGGTTAAAGTCTTAAATGATTTGTACTTTGACTTGTTTTCATATTTTTAATAAATTTATTTTTGTTTAGTTTTAATAATAGTACTTCTGCTTTTATTGAGATGCATACTATTTTTGGATTAATATGTTATATTTACCTACACATTTTTACTGAATTTTTTACCCACGCTCACAATAGGATGGTGGGTCCCACAAATCGGAATTTGCAATTGCACGCGGGCCCGCATCCATGTGAGAGTAGAACACCAATTTGGTAACCCATTTTCGATACATATATATTTATCCTTTTGGATTAGCTGCGTCCTGAATAGCACTGACCAGTCCTAATCATGAAGTTGAAAATTTTTCCATCATGCATTTATGCTGTTTAGTTCTGAATGGTATTTGGTGTGTGGAATATGGGTGATTTGGTGTGAGAAAATTATTATGGTAGTATCCATGGACGGACCCACGTGGAGTCACTTATATATATATATATATATATATATATGTGAGTGTGTGTGTGTGTGTGTGTGGAATATGGGTGATTTGGTGTGAGAAAATTATTATGGTAGTATCCATGGACGGACCCACGTGGAGTCACTTATATATATATATATATATATATATATGTGAGTGTGTGTGTGTGTGTGTGTGGAATATGGGTGATTTGGTGTGAGAAAATTATTATGGTAGTATCCATGGACGGACCCACGTGGAGTCACTTATATATATATATATATATATATATATGTGAGTGTGTGTGTGTGTGTGTGTGGAATATGGGTGATTTGGTGTGAGAAAATTATTATGGTAGTATCCATGGACGGACCCACGTGGAGTCACTTATATATATATATATATATATATATATGTGAGTGTGTGTGTGTGTGTGTGTGGAATATGGGTGATTTGGTGTGAGAAAATTATTATGGTAGTATCCATGGACGGACCCACGTGGAGTCACTTATATATATATATATATATATATATATGTGAGTGTGTGTGTGTGTGTGTGTGGAATATGGGTGATTTGGTGTGAGAAAATTATTATGGTAGTATCCATGGACGGACCCACGTGGAGTCACTTATATATATATATATATATATATATATGTGAGTGTGTGTGTGTGTGTGTGTGGAATATGGGTGATTTGGTGTGAGAAAATTATTATGGTAGTATCCATGGACGGACCCACGTGGAGTCACTTATATATATATATATATATATATATATGTGAGTGTGTGTGTGTGTGTGTGTGGAATATGGGTGATTTGGTGTGAGAAAATTATTATGGTAGTATCCATGGACGGACCCACGTGGAGTCACTTATATATATATATATATATATATATATGTGAGTGTGTGTGTGTGTGTGTGTGGAATATGGGTGATTTGGTGTGAGAAAATTATTATGGTAGTATCCATGGACGGACCCACGTGGAGTCACTTATATATATATATATATATATATATATGTGAGTGTGTGTGTGTGTGTGTGTGGAATATGGGTGATTTGGTGTGAGAAAATTATTATGGTAGTATCCATGGACGGACCCACGTGGAGTCACTTATATATATATATATATATATATATATGTGAGTGTGTGTGTGTGTGTGTGTGGAATATGGGTGATTTGGTGTGAGAAAATTATTATGGTAGTATCCATGGACGGACCCACGTGGAGTCACTTATATATATATATATATATATATATATGTGAGTGTGTGTGTGTGTGTGTGTGGAATATGGGTGATTTGGTGTGAGAAAATTATTATGGTAGTATCCATGGACGGACCCACGTGGAGTCACTTATATATATATATATATATATATATATGTGAGTGTGTGTGTGTGTGTGTGTGGAATATGGGTGATTTGGTGTGAGAAAATTATTATGGTAGTATCCATGGACGGACCCACGTGGAGTCACTTATATATATATATATATATATATATATGTGAGTGTGTGTGTGTGTGTGTGTGGAATATGGGTGATTTGGTGTGAGAAAATTATTATGGTAGTATCCATGGACGGACCCACGTGGAGTCACTTATATATATATATATATATATATATATGTGAGTGTGTGTGTGTGTGTGTGTGGAATATGGGTGATTTGGTGTGAGAAAATTATTATGGTAGTATCCATGGACGGACCCACGTGGAGTCACTTATATATATATATATATATATATATATGTGAGTGTGTGTGTGTGTGTGTGTGGAATATGGGTGATTTGGTGTGAGAAAATTATTATGGTAGTATCCATGGACGGACCCACGTGGAGTCACTTATATATATATATATATATATATATATGTGAGTGTGTGTGTGTGTGTGTGTGGAATATGGGTGATTTGGTGTGAGAAAATTATTATGGTAGTATCCATGGACGGACCCACGTGGAGTCACTTATATATATATATATATATATATATATGTGAGTGTGTGTGTGTGTGTGTGTGGAATATGGGTGATTTGGTGTGAGAAAATTATTATGGTAGTATCCATGGACGGACCCACGTGGAGTCACTTATATATATATATATATATATATATATGTGAGTGTGTGTGTGTGTGTGTGTGGAATATGGGTGATTTGGTGTGAGAAAATTATTATGGTAGTATCCATGGACGGACCCACGTGGAGTCACTTATATATATATATATATATATATATATGTGAGTGTGTGTGTGTGTGTGTGTGGAATATGGGTGATTTGGTGTGAGAAAATTATTATGGTAGTATCCATGGACGGACCCACGTGGAGTCACTTATATATATATATATATATATATATATGTGAGTGTGTGTGTGTGTGTGTGTGGAATATGGGTGATTTGGTGTGAGAAAATTATTATGGTAGTATCCATGGACGGACCCACGTGGAGTCACTTATATATATATATATATATATATATATGTGAGTGTGTGTGTGTGTGTGTGTGGAATATGGGTGATTTGGTGTGAGAAAATTATTATGGTAGTATCCATGGACGGACCCACGTGGAGTCACTTATATATATATATATATATATATATATGTGAGTGTGTGTGTGTGTGTGTGTGGAATATGGGTGATTTGGTGTGAGAAAATTATTATGGTAGTATCCATGGACGGACCCACGTGGAGTCACTTATATATATATATATATATATATATATGTGAGTGTGTGTGTGTGTGTGTGTGGAATATGGGTGATTTGGTGTGAGAAAATTATTATGGTAGTATCCATGGACGGACCCACGTGGAGTCACTTATATATATATATATATATATATATATGTGAGTGTGTGTGTGTGTGTGTGTGGAATATGGGTGATTTGGTGTGAGAAAATTATTATGGTAGTATCCATGGACGGACCCACGTGGAGTCACTTATATATATATATATATATATATATATGTGAGTGTGTGTGTGTGTGTGTGTGGAATATGGGTGATTTGGTGTGAGAAAATTATTATGGTAGTATCCATGGACGGACCCACGTGGAGTCACTTATATATATATATATATATATATATATGTGAGTGTGTGTGTGTGTGTGTGTGGAATATGGGTGATTTGGTGTGAGAAAATTATTATGGTAGTATCCATGGACGGACCCACGTGGAGTCACTTATATATATATATATATATATATATATGTGAGTGTGTGTGTGTGTGTGTGTGGAATATGGGTGATTTGGTGTGAGAAAATTATTATGGTAGTATCCATGGACGGACCCACGTGGAGTCACTTATATATATATATATATATATATATATGTGAGTGTGTGTGTGTGTGTGTGTGGAATATGGGTGATTTGGTGTGAGAAAATTATTATGGTAGTATCCATGGACGGACCCACGTGGAGTCACTTATATATATATATATATATATATATATGTGAGTGTGTGTGTGTGTGTGTGTGGAATATGGGTGATTTGGTGTGAGAAAATTATTATGGTAGTATCCATGGACGGACCCACGTGGAGTCACTTATATATATATATATATATATATATATGTGAGTGTGTGTGTGTGTGTGTGTGGAATATGGGTGATTTGGTGTGAGAAAATTATTATGGTAGTATCCATGGACGGACCCACGTGGAGTCACTTATATATATATATATATATATATATATGTGAGTGTGTGTGTGTGTGTGTGTGGAATATGGGTGATTTGGTGTGAGAAAATTATTATGGTAGTATCCATGGACGGACCCACGTGGAGTCACTTATATATATATATATATATATATATATGTGAGTGTGTGTGTGTGTGTGTGTGGAATATGGGTGATTTGGTGTGAGAAAATTATTATGGTAGTATCCATGGACGGACCCACGTGGAGTCACTTATATATATATATATATATATATATATGTGAGTGTGTGTGTGTGTGTGTGTGGAATATGGGTGATTTGGTGTGAGAAAATTATTATGGTAGTATCCATGGACGGACCCACGTGGAGTCACTTATATATATATATATATATATATATATGTGAGTGTGTGTGTGTGTGTGTGTGGAATATGGGTGATTTGGTGTGAGAAAATTATTATGGTAGTATCCATGGACGGACCCACGTGGAGTCACTTATATATATATATATATATATATATATGTGAGTGTGTGTGTGTGTGTGTGTGGAATATGGGTGATTTGGTGTGAGAAAATTATTATGGTAGTATCCATGGACGGACCCACGTGGAGTCACTTATATATATATATATATATATATATATGTGAGTGTGTGTGTGTGTGTGTGTGGAATATGGGTGATTTGGTGTGAGAAAATTATTATGGTAGTATCCATGGACGGACCCACGTGGAGTCACTTATATATATATATATATATATATATATGTGAGTGTGTGTGTGTGTGTGTGTGGAATATGGGTGATTTGGTGTGAGAAAATTATTATGGTAGTATCCATGGACGGACCCACGTGGAGTCACTTATATATATATATATATATATATATATGTGAGTGTGTGTGTGTGTGTGTGTGGAATATGGGTGATTTGGTGTGAGAAAATTATTATGGTAGTATCCATGGACGGACCCACGTGGAGTCACTTATATATATATATATATATATATATATGTGAGTGTGTGTGTGTGTGTGTGTGGAATATGGGTGATTTGGTGTGAGAAAATTATTATGGTAGTATCCATGGACGGACCCACGTGGAGTCACTTATATATATATATATATATATATATATGTGAGTGTGTGTGTGTGTGTGTGTGGAATATGGGTGATTTGGTGTGAGAAAATTATTATGGTAGTATCCATGGACGGACCCACGTGGAGTCACTTATATATATATATATATATATATATATGTGAGTGTGTGTGTGTGTGTGTGTGGAATATGGGTGATTTGGTGTGAGAAAATTATTATGGTAGTATCCATGGACGGACCCACGTGGAGTCACTTATATATATATATATATATATATATATGTGAGTGTGTGTGTGTGTGTGTGTGGAATATGGGTGATTTGGTGTGAGAAAATTATTATGGTAGTATCCATGGACGGACCCACGTGGAGTCACTTATATATATATATATATATATATATATGTGAGTGTGTGTGTGTGTGTGTGTGGAATATGGGTGATTTGGTGTGAGAAAATTATTATGGTAGTATCCATGGACGGACCCACGTGGAGTCACTTATATATATATATATATATATATATATGTGAGTGTGTGTGTGTGTGTGTGTGGAATATGGGTGATTTGGTGTGAGAAAATTATTATGGTAGTATCCATGGACGGACCCACGTGGAGTCACTTATATATATATATATATATATATATATGTGAGTGTGTGTGTGTGTGTGTGTGGAATATGGGTGATTTGGTGTGAGAAAATTATTATGGTAGTATCCATGGACGGACCCACGTGGAGTCACTTATATATATATATATATATATATATATGTGAGTGTGTGTGTGTGTGTGTGTGGAATATGGGTGATTTGGTGTGAGAAAATTATTATGGTAGTATCCATGGACGGACCCACGTGGAGTCACTTATATATATATATATATATATATATATGTGAGTGTGTGTGTGTGTGTGTGTGGAATATGGGTGATTTGGTGTGAGAAAATTATTATGGTAGTATCCATGGACGGACCCACGTGGAGTCACTTATATATATATATATATATATATATATGTGAGTGTGTGTGTGTGTGTGTGTGGAATATGGGTGATTTGGTGTGAGAAAATTATTATGGTAGTATCCATGGACGGACCCACGTGGAGTCACTTATATATATATATATATATATATATATGTGAGTGTGTGTGTGTGTGTGTGTGGAATATGGGTGATTTGGTGTGAGAAAATTATTATGGTAGTATCCATGGACGGACCCACGTGGAGTCACTTATATATATATATATATATATATATATGTGAGTGTGTGTGTGTGTGTGTGTGGAATATGGGTGATTTGGTGTGAGAAAATTATTATGGTAGTATCCATGGACGGACCCACGTGGAGTCACTTATATATATATATATATATATATATATGTGAGTGTGTGTGTGTGTGTGTGTGGAATATGGGTGATTTGGTGTGAGAAAATTATTATGGTAGTATCCATGGACGGACCCACGTGGAGTCACTTATATATATATATATATATATATATATGTGAGTGTGTGTGTGTGTGTGTGTGGAATATGGGTGATTTGGTGTGAGAAAATTATTATGGTAGTATCCATGGACGGACCCACGTGGAGTCACTTATATATATATATATATATATATATATGTGAGTGTGTGTGTGTGTGTGTGTGGAATATGGGTGATTTGGTGTGAGAAAATTATTATGGTAGTATCCATGGACGGACCCACGTGGAGTCACTTATATATATATATATATATATATATATGTGAGTGTGTGTGTGTGTGTGTGTGGAATATGGGTGATTTGGTGTGAGAAAATTATTATGGTAGTATCCATGGACGGACCCACGTGGAGTCACTTATATATATATATATATATATATATATGTGAGTGTGTGTGTGTGTGTGTGTGGAATATGGGTGATTTGGTGTGAGAAAATTATTATGGTAGTATCCATGGACGGACCCACGTGGAGTCACTTATATATATATATATATATATATATATGTGAGTGTGTGTGTGTGTGTGTGTGGAATATGGGTGATTTGGTGTGAGAAAATTATTATGGTAGTATCCATGGACGGACCCACGTGGAGTCACTTATATATATATATATATATATATATATGTGAGTGTGTGTGTGTGTGTGTGTGGAATATGGGTGATTTGGTGTGAGAAAATTATTATGGTAGTATCCATGGACGGACCCACGTGGAGTCACTTATATATATATATATATATATATATATGTGAGTGTGTGTGTGTGTGTGTGTGGAATATGGGTGATTTGGTGTGAGAAAATTATTATGGTAGTATCCATGGACGGACCCACGTGGAGTCACTTATATATATATATATATATATATATATGTGAGTGTGTGTGTGTGTGTGTGTGGAATATGGGTGATTTGGTGTGAGAAAATTATTATGGTAGTATCCATGGACGGACCCACGTGGAGTCACTTATATATATATATATATATATATATATGTGAGTGTGTGTGTGTGTGTGTGTGGAATATGGGTGATTTGGTGTGAGAAAATTATTATGGTAGTATCCATGGACGGACCCACGTGGAGTCACTTATATATATATATATATATATATATATGTGAGTGTGTGTGTGTGTGTGTGTGGAATATGGGTGATTTGGTGTGAGAAAATTATTATGGTAGTATCCATGGACGGACCCACGTGGAGTCACTTATATATATATATATATATATATATATGTGAGTGTGTGTGTGTGTGTGTGTGGAATATGGGTGATTTGGTGTGAGAAAATTATTATGGTAGTATCCATGGACGGACCCACGTGGAGTCACTTATATATATATATATATATATATATATGTGAGTGTGTGTGTGTGTGTGTGTGGAATATGGGTGATTTGGTGTGAGAAAATTATTATGGTAGTATCCATGGACGGACCCACGTGGAGTCACTTATATATATATATATATATATATATATGTGAGTGTGTGTGTGTGTGTGTGTGGAATATGGGTGATTTGGTGTGAGAAAATTATTAGGTTTCTGTAAAAATGAATTTCACGTTCTCTTGATCCAGATAATTGGAAAATTGAAACTTCCTTTGTTGCATTATGTAGATGATGATGTAATCTAAGCCCAATTGTTATGGACTACTTTTATTGCTATTGAAGCACTGAGTATAACAGTGTTGATGTCTTTCTTGCTCATCAAATTTACAGTGAACAGACAAGAGTCTTGTTAACAAGTGCTGCTTTTGTTCATTTGAAAGCTGATGTTACTAAGCACACACGGAATCTTTCTCCTGCAAGTCGAACAATATTGCTTTCTGGCCCTGCGGGTTAGTTATTTCCAGTATTTTCGTTTTATTCTTAGCAAGTACTTCCTTGTCAATGCATCTAAATATAATTCATGTTTATTTATTAGAACTGTACCAGCAAATGCTTGCCAAGGCTTTAGCACATTATTTTGAGGCCAAGTTATTGTTGTTAGATGTAACTGATTTTTCACTGAAGGTGAGTTTATATCTAGAAATTACTTTTTTATGTTCCCAGCAAGAGCTTAACCTCCTAATTATTATCGTACTAAATCCTTGAATGGTTGGTTTTAAAAGATCCAGAGCAAATATGGGGCTTCGAACAAAGAATCTGTAAGTTTCGTTGCATTCTTCCTCTACAACCTACTTTCTGTGCATATGAAAAGTACCTGTAAACTGTAAAGGATGGTCGTCTTATTCCCAGCCTGCCACACCTTAACATTCAAGTATTCAGCAGCATGAGTTAGCATAAATTGTAACAGTCTGCTGTTTGGCTAATATCTTTTGTTGTAGTATTTCAAAAGGTCTATATCAGAAACAACATTGAGCCGAATGTCTGAATTATTTGGATCATTTTCAATGCTTCAACAGGAGGAAAGCAAAGGTATGACTGAGAATGAAATGTTATCTTCTCTGGTGAACCTTAATTCGAACGATATCCATATATTTTAATATTTAATTGTTTTATGTGTTACCATTACTTTTTGAAGTTTTATCTTCTTCATCCCAAATATTAGTTTGATTTGAGAATGCTAAAGGGTTTTTCAAAGAGCCAGGACTCTACACTGTTTTCATCGGTTTCAGATTATTCTTTTGATGGGTAAAGAGGTGTGCTTGTTTTGTAACCAATACATTGTGTGGTTGGGCTTCGACTCATTTTTTAAGGCATTGCAATAGTGCATATGTAGTATGGACATGAGTGGTAGAAATGGATCTCATCTGTCATCCAGCTACTTAGCTACATTATTCTAATGTCATTGCATTGTTCAGGAGAGAGCACTGGGCCTCCAGGTAGGAGAGGGTCTTTTAAAACCTAAGATTTCCGGTCCATAATCCTAATGTAGGTCTGGCCCAGATGTTTTTGTACTTGTATCTGTTTGTTTTCCTAAACTTTGATTTGGGCATACTCCAATTTTAGTTGGACTCGGGCATTTGTTCAACCATGACTAGTTCAACACGTGAGATAAGTTCTTGATATTATTGTCCCTACTACGCTGTGGCAAACCACAATGATTTGGAGAAGTTATTTCTTTCTGCAGGCATCTATCTACAGGAATGTGCAGGCCCTACCCATCATTTTATGTAGATTAGGCTTTATCTCCCTCAAGTTGGGCATTTTGTTCGACAATTTTATTGCTTTTCGTACACATCTTGCTTATTTTGCATGGACCGCCAATATTTATCTTCCTAAATGATAGAATTACAGAGAGTAGAGGTAGGGGCTATATACAAAGAGTACAAAACACTTGTTCATTTCAGCTAGTCACTTTCCTAGGCAACCTTCCTGAAGGCTCCTAATGTGGGGATAGCATTTTATCATGCACATGGCATTTAAATCGGGATCTTCTAGTTTGTAGCATTTTGTTCTCATGATGCATAAACTTGACCAAGTGTTGATGTTCAACATCACCTAAATCGATACTAAGAGCACCAGCTATGGTGCACTAGGCACCTGTGTAATGATAGTGCATTAACCTCATTATATTTAATGATGCATTTGAGTTACAAGAGTTACACATATCTGCAAATTGAAAGCACCAGTTCAAATAGTCTCTTAAAATACTGGAAATCTTATTACTAGCACTATGATCTGTGCCAAAATTTTCGAAATCTTAAAAATTTATTAAACCAGTTCATTTGATGCTGATAGTCTTTCTTTTTCTGTTCTTTTTGGTACATTCAATTAATTCTTTTCCATCCTTAATATGCTATTCTATTCTATTACAGGTACATTGCGCAGGCAAAGAAGTGGAGTTGATCTTGTATCAAAGTGCGTTGTGGTACTTTTACATGTTGCATGGTGCTTGCTTATTCTTTTTTATGATTGAATATGGGTTTGCCCCCATATCTGCAGGGGACAAGAAGGTTCCTTTAATCCTCCACAGCTACGTAGAAATGCATCTGCATCAGCGTCTTTAAGCCAGCTGACCACTAGACATGTAGTTATTGTAAAAAATTTTGCTCTTATAAATTTTTATCATTTCATTGTGAACCCCATGCCTTGTCTAACTTTGCTTCTTTAATATTTCCTTCCCATTTTTATTAAGTATATAAAATAATAAAATGATGACAACAATATTTTTCATGTTTGAAAAAATTATGGCTACGCAGGTTACACTCCTTTGGACCGTATCATTCTGGTTTGTGGGATCTTGGATGATTCCATTTGGAGCTCACATCATTGGCTTCAGCAAGGTATCACTAACTTACAGAGGGCAGGCACTGTTTAGCCTTCTGACAGATGTAACTGAAGGGCTTGCTGGAATTTTAATTCTTCATCGGTGTTTGTCTCGGTTCCGTCCCCTGCCATCTAATTGGTTTAGATTTAGCCTTAAAGGAAACTGGCTTTTCGACGTTGTTCTTGGATGCTTGATGTTTCCATTGGTCAATTGTCTTTCTCAATTCAACCTAAATCTTCTTCCAGTTTTGCCTTCGACTCCTGTCACACTCTCTAGTGTAGAGCAATCAATAGTGGCTCGAGATCCGATTGCAATGGCACTTTATGCACTGGTACTTGTTGTTTGTGCTCCTTTGTGGGAGGAAATTGTCTTCCGAGGCTTCCTTCTTCCTTCTTTGACTAAATACATGCCCGTGTGGGGCTCTATATTGATGAGTTCAATCGGCTTTGCTTTGGCACACTTTAATGTACAGAGGATGTTACCACTTATTTTTCTTGGGGTTGTGATGGGTGTAACTTATGCAAGATCAAGGAATCTACTGCCATCCATTCTCTTGCATAGCCTGTGGAATGGCTTTGTATTCTTAGATTTGATGAAATAAAATCTCAATTCTTATTTCTCATACAAATCATAACCAGGTTGCCCCCATTTACGAAACTCTAATCTCTGAATAGCCTTATCCAGAAGAGTTGTTCAACAATACCCTCGGAGACATGGTTCTACTATGGTTGTGAAGTCATTTGGTCCGAGTACTTTGGTTGAATGCTTCAAACTGAAGTAACTCAGCCCCGTAAAAGCCAAAAACAATCCTCAACGGTGACCCCTTGGTTCGGCCGAAGGGATGATAAACAAGATAAATTTTTAAACGGACTGCATTGTGGCTGGAGGGGAAATTCATACCAAAAGTTGTGCTATTTTGTATGTTATAATGGAAAAAACATTAATTTTTTTTATTTTTTATTTTTTAATGCTAGTTTGTTAATTGCTTAAAGTCTTCAATGATTTGTACTTAAGACACGTTTTCATATTTTTAATAAATTTATTTTTGTTTAGTTTTAATAATAGTACTTCTGCTTTTATTGAGATGCATACTATTTTTGGATTAATATGTTATATTTACCTACACATTTTTACTGAATTTTTTACCCACGCTCACAATAGGATGGTGGGTCCCACAAATCGGAATTTGCAATTGCACGCGGGCCCGCATCCATGTGAGAGTAGAACACCAATTTGGTAACCCATTTTCGATACATATATATTTATCCTTTTGGATTAGCTGCGTCCTGAATAGCACTGACCAGTCCTAATCATGAAGTTGAAAATTTTTCCATCATGCATTTATGCTGTTTAGTTCTGAATGGTATTTGGTGTGTGGAATATGGGTGATTTGGTGTGAGAAAATTATTATGGTAGTATCCATGGACGGACCCACGTGGAGTCACTTATATATATATATATATATATATATATGTGAGTGTGTGTGTGTGTGTGTGTGGAATATGGGTGATTTGGTGTGAGAAAATTATTATGGTAGTATCCATGGACGGACCCACGTGGAGTCACTTATATATATATATATATATATATATATGTGAGTGTGTGTGTGTCACTCACAAATATATATATATATATATATATATATATATATATATATTATTATTATTATTATTATTTACCTCTCAAAAGTAGTTGCTTTGATCTATTTATGACTTATTTTAATACAACTCATTATGAGATGTCAAATAAAGTCGAAATATTGTATTTTTGATACCATTTCGAATTGACCTAATTTTTCACTCACTAAAGGTGTTCGAAATGGTCAACCATAGCAAAAGTTACGATATATCGAAGTAGGCCGTTTGAAATTAGTATTTCGAAAATTTAGATAATATGCCAACTTTCAAAATTCGTCGGCGATTGTATGTTATCCGAACCCACAAATCATCTATGTAATGTAAAAGTTCATTTCAAAAACTACATCATTTTCGTATTGAATTGTCCAAACGGACATCGAAAATAATTAAATATTCGTCAAACCTACGTCTCAAAAAAAACGTCTAACTCCTCTTTTCTTTTAAAAAAATTCAATTATTTCATTAGTGTTTATTATTTTTGTACGATAATTTTTCAATATATTTTATATTATTTTATTAGAAAATTTTATATGAAATATGATGTAAAAAATTATAGGATCGTTACGGATTAAATGTCAGCAAATTGGTTAGCTCAGCATTTGTCAAATTCGTCGGCTTAGCATTTGTCAACGAATTGGTAAATAAAATTATACAAGTAGCAAAATTTATTTAATAATGTTGATAATGATGTAATTATATGACATTTTAAAAGTATCAAAAATACGTATTAACTTATTTTCATTAATATTATGTTGTTTTTAAAAAAGTTAAATTTTAATTTTTCACCCCACAACTCTAAAAGTTTAGGTCCGCCCCTGGAGAGAGTGTTTTATATGGGTGGTTTTTGACGGTCGAGCTGAGTTTTATTAGTTTTGGTGTAGTTATTCACGATGGCGTGGTAGATGATGATTGTGTTGTTTTCACAATGAAGATGACTTTCTTTTGGCAAAGGAGAACGATTTTCTGGATTCAAATGTGATTCCATCGGATGGTATAGAGTCTCAAGTCAGATTTTCAGTTTGCTTCGAATGCAAGAGTTTTATCAGATATTTTATCCTTACTTTTTGATGTTGGTTGCGGCTCTTGTTGCTTCAATTTCTCGTGAAGGGAATAAAGTGGCTCATAAATTAGCTTCGTTTTCTTTCCTGTTGACTTAATTAGTTGCAAGTGGAGTGACCGTAAAAATTTAAATTAAAAAGAAAAAAATAAGGCGGGGACAATTCAATTGTTGTGGGATTATGTGCAACTGTGAGGCCAAAGAGAGTGAGAGAGAAAAGAAGAAAATGTCAGAAGTGGGATTTGAACCCACGCCCTCTCACGAGGACCAGAACTTGAGTCTGGCGCCTTAGACCACTCGGCCATCCTGACCACAATGTTATGATGTGACTACAATGTTATGATATCCAATTATGTTTTATTGCATCAGTTAACTATCTAGCCAGCCTTCAACTTCTGTACAAAAACGCCTGGGTTTTATAAACCTAGCTTTTGGAGATGGACCCTCTCATATTTTATATAGTTTTAATCACTAAGGCGCGTTTGATTGTGTAAAATTTTTTATGGAAAATCAAATTCATTTTTCATCTTTGCCCTGTTTGATACCATTTTTTTTTATTTTTTTTTTCAAAGAATCCATTTTCTAGCTTGTCTTGGAAAGAAGAAAATTCCAGTTTTTCAAGAAATGGTGAAAATTTCAATTCCGATTTACTGTAGCGATTTTTTATTTATTTTTATTTTTTCAATGAAAACAAATTGCAAGAATTATTGTAAAAAAAATATTTCCTTTATTTAACAATTTTCATGTAAAACGAAGTCAAACGAACACCAAAAGATAGATGATTTTTTAGAATTATATTATTATTATTATTATTATTATTATTATTATTATTATTATTATTATTATTATTTTGCAATGGAAACAAATTTCATTTTCAATACCAGTAAATTCCATCCATTTAATTGACAATTTTTGTGTAAAACAAAGCCAAACGATCATAAAAAAATATTTTTATTTCAACATTTTTCACGTGAAAAATTATACCAATCAAATACAATAATTTACAATTCCCAGGTAAACAATTTTTAGGCAATTCAATTCCTTGAAATTCGTTTTCAATTCAATTTCATCTTTACAATTAAACGGACCCTAAATTACAAATACTGTCACGACTTGTTAACAATGTATAAAAGAAAATAAAAGAGGAGAGGATACAAGTCTCGTCTTTATTCTAGTGTTAATTATTAGAACTACTCAACTTATTCGATAAAGTATATTCTAGTCATGTTGGATCGGGTTTAGACACATTTGAGGTTATGTGGGTCGGGTCGGTTTACTAGTTCAAAACTACCAAATCCTTTCAAATCAACCTAACCCAGTTACCCTAACCCCTAAACCTAGCTATTAAAATCTCCGTTGACAAATAATATGACCACCCACCTATTGATGCACTCTTATATGATAAATCGAGATTTTTCTATGATGAAGTTTACCGACAAAGGTATCAAGTGATTTTCTCAAAGGGTCTTCGAATGTGTCTTTGGTGGTATTGAAAGCGTTCAAATTGGGAAGCTAGGTTTTCAAAATTAAGGTTACAAAGGTGAAATTTGTTGTACTTAGAGTCGGTCCCCCTCCCCCTCCCCCTCTCCCAAACCCAAAAAAAAAAACAATAATAATAATAAAATAAATTCGTAGGTAGTGTTGATAAGTTTAGTGCATCTAGAACCTAGGGTTTCAGCTTAATTAATACTTTAATTCGTTTTTACCTAGAGAATGAATGGAGTGAATGATTGAGATGAGTGCTTTGAAGATTTTCTTTGCTATTTATGAAAATTGTGCAAAAGTCATGGTTTTTTTTATCAGATTTATCTGTTCGGTATATTTGATCGTGTGAAGTTATTTATTTTTACAATTTAAAAACTATGAAAAGATTGAGGTCAAGTGATGATCTTGACTCGTATGGGGAAAAAGTTTATTAAAAAATGGGTAAGGAAGTCTTATCCGAGTTTCAAGCGATCAACTTCTTAGCATAGAAACTCTTGTTACAATGAAATTAACGGGAAAAAAGGGAAAAACCAATTTCCCGACTTGGGTTGGGCCGGGCCGGGCCGGCTGCTATCATTAAATCAGGACATTCATTCGGAATAGTTCAAAATTGACCGAGTCGGACGTTTCGGGTTTAGAACATAACCTACCCCAGAGCATTTACGACACGAACTATATAATTCACTATGCAAATTGTACTATATAGTTACAAGCCATTATTGAAAACATGCCTATTTATAACTTTGACATTTCAGTGTCTAGCCATTAGGTGTCACTCTATCGTTAATGACCTTTTAAAATGTTTCACGTGTTGAGTCTAGTAGATTCCATAAATATCTATTGACAATAACATTGTCGTCAATAATATAGGAATGAGCTGTACAAATGAACCTGTTAAAATTCAAGAGTTAATATTATTGTTATTATTCAATTCTTGTATTCTTTTCTGGATAATTTCGGTCATAAGTGAAGCAAAATTAAATCATTTAACCTCAAACTCATCATTTGGCTTATGATATTTACAATCTTACTTATAAGAATGAGAAAAATTGTTTATCTAAAAAAATTGATTGATTCTAAAACTAACAAACGTGTAGTATTTGCACACCTAATCAACATTAGAATGCAAGATTGTTGATCCAATGGGAGATATAACTAGGGATGTTAAACGGGTTGAGTAGCTCACGAGCTTGAGTCGTCTTGAACAATTCGGACTCGTTTTTTTCAATGAGTCAAGCCCACCAGTTAGAGGATCAAATCGAATATAGAATTTGGTCGCTAAGGGAAAAGCAAGCTCGTCTGGTTCATTGTCACCCCTAAATAAATTAGACATTGAAAATCGGGTGTGAAAAAACAAGCTAATGGAATTTTTGGTTAGGATGCATAGATTTCATATAAATTCATGGATGGATGAAATAAGTTTAAAATTTATCAAT